CAGTGTATTCCATTTATTTCAACAAAGTAACTGTATTCTGAATACCACCTTTTTAAACGGTAACTGTAACGGAATACAGTTACTCATATTTTGTATTCTAAATACGTAACGGCGGTACATGTATTCCGTTACTCCCCAACACTGGCTGATTTACATGCAGAGCTTTTATTTTTACACCCTCAATATATCTTTTACCTACTGGACAAAAAGGCATCACATGATTACTGGGAAACGCATTAAATATTAAACACCTGTTTGCAGTTTCTATTTGTGAGCTGTGCTGAAATATCAGGGGGCTGAGGCTGAATCTTCACTCCACCAATCAAATCATTTGAGTTCCCCTTGACACTGGACACATGGAACATTTCTATTCCTCTCCTGCTCAGCTCACATCCACCTGAGGACACATTCACCTGACTTTCTGAAGCAGACATCTTGTTTTTTCATCACTTGGCTTCAAACTGAGGTAATGTTTGATCATAATTCACCTAATACCTGATTCCTTCTGTATGTTAATGTGATGTAACTTTTTGTTATGCTCATAACGTCTCTTTTTGTGTTGTAAAAGTTACTCTTTGCGCAAATGAGCATTTATATTAGTGTTACATTGCTGATTCTTAATCTACCTCTTTTATGGTTTTGTACTTTTTTTTCACTGTCAAACACTGAGCACACAGAAGATTTTAAACCATCGGCTTCTTCTCTGTTTTCTCTTCTGTTTTTTCACCCCAAGAGGCCCAGTCTCCTGGAGATGGCAGACTTGCCTCGCAGACGCTATGGCAACTTCCCACAAAGGCGAGCCACCATGTTACCATGGGTAGCCAAGTGTAGGGTAAGGCTGGCACTGGAGGCCATGCCATCTGAGACTGGTCCAAATCTGGCAACCACAGCAGAGGAACCAACCCCCCGGGCAGAACATGTGAATATAGATGTAAACAATGTTTTAAAGAAGGAGGGATTCATCACTACAACTAGTAGTAAATGAGAGATGAGTAAATGGGATTTTAGAAAGATGAAAATAATGCAAAGTCTCTTTCTTTTGAATTTTTAAACAAAATAGGTCAGCATGACTGGATTCTGTGAGGTGGAAAAGGAGCCAAACCAGTCTTATGAGAGAAAAACAAAAGCAACATCTCCGTCATCTGAAAAATGGGAAAGGCCTCCAGCCAAAAGTGTTAAAGCTTTATTGAGAAGATTAAGGTAAAAAAGGGGAGTATGCTGCGGTAAAGCCATGTTGATTTTAAAGGATGACAACAGAGCAATGGATGAACCTAAAGTCCTCTTTATCCAAACCAATCTATGCTTTGGTACGTTACAGACTGGGCAGCCAGTTTATAGACACTTTTATTGCCAGATCAGATGGTGACAGATATCCACGGTCCACAGTGTAGTAGAATACATTCATTTGGACTTGAGTGCTATTTATAGTTTCTGTAGCTGCATGATCATAAAGCCCAGCAAAAGTCAGGGTGATATAGGTTTGGGGTCGTTGTCATGCCTGTTCCTAAATTGTTTCTGTTGTGTATTGCCCTTTTTTGGGGAGGCACTGGGGAATGTTGTTGCCTCAAAGTGGTTTTCTTGATCTGCAACAATGTTTAGGCAGGATTGTTTTTGTTTGTTCTTTCCATGGGTTTAAAATGGAAAATGTTCTTATGAATTTTACACTCTTAATGCTAACCTTTGATAATCACTTTCCCTATCAATGAACTTCTCCAAAGTCTTGGAAAATGCTGAACTATTTCTTTATCAGTGTTGTTTTTTCCATTTTTGGGTGAATCCGGTTAAGAAATTTAGCCTCACTGAGACTTTATGCTGAATATAATCTTGGTAATGGAATTGAAGACACTGCCATAAGACACCTTCAATTTCACAGGATTCACCCAGAGGCCCAGAGGATTCTGGGTAATTCCTGCATACCTGTAGTGAGCCTGGAGCGTCTGAACTTCCAGTCTGTGTCTTTATCATCACTGCAGCCTGTGGTGTCTTTGCAACGTCTGCCTTGCCAAAAACAAGCTGAGCTCTGTGACAATGTGTCATTAAATATTTCTGAACAGGTACAGAGCTGAAGGTCTAAACACTTTCATGTACAACAAAGATAAGTTCCTTTTTTTAACCTCTGTGTCTTGATCTCTGCTAACAGAATGGATTCAGTCAAACTGAGGAAGATATACTGGAGCTAACTGAAGGATCATTCCAGCCTAAACCAGTAGAGCCATGTGATCTCAGTCCAACATCCTGGACTGAACCATATTGTCCTGACAGCTCCCTTTCTGGAGAGCCAGAGCAGGACTCAGGCTTTGACTGTGACTCTAATCCAGATCAGCCTTACATCCTGTTTGATTGTGGATCTGATGATGGGAAAGCTGAATCTGAAGCATTTTATCTGGATCCAGATCCAGAGCAGACTCTGGTTATTGAACTGGATCCAGGAGAAGAAGAAGCAGATCAGGACCAATGCCTGCCCCCGGAGGATGAAGTTGAAAGTACATGTGTGGTTGATATAATCGAAGTGGACGATGGTGAAGATCAAAGAAGTGAAATTAGATGCTTGGGAGAACAGGCCGACTCATCCACCCAGCAGCCTGGAGCTGAGGTTGGGACTGAGGAGAGTGAAGATTTCTGCGCTGTTTGTCTGAATGGAGGAGAGCTGCTCTGCTGTGACCGCTGCCCCAAAGTTTATCACATAGGCTGTCATGTACCTCCTCTCAGCAGCTTCCCGCCGTAAGTGCTGTGTGAACATACAAATCTGGATATATGACATATGGGTTTAATGTGTTTTTTCATGGACTGTGGTCCTGTGTATTCCACAGAGGTGACTGGGTGTGTACTCTGTGTAGAAGTGAGCAGGAGCCCGTGGAGGCCTACGACTGTGAGATCATGGACTCCTGCGAGGGAGTCAAGGCACCTTATACACTATCCAACCTGGACCAGAGGGTAAGGCTGGTTTAATTCCTAAATTAAAGCTATAATGCTTATTTTCATTCTGTTGCTGTGAGGATGGCCTGAAATGTTGATCCTTTCTTACAAGATATTGTTTGGTTCAGACAAATCTGGAAACAATTCACTTAGTTTTGGTGAGAGAGCTGTCTGGGGAAGAGTGTGAAGACGCCAGGTCACACACATTTACTGTGAAATTAAAGGACTATTAACTATTAAAGGGCTACTCTCCAACTGAAATTGATCCACCGGTGTGGCAAGAATCCACACAATTTTAAGTTGTGTAGACTCATTTATGACTCTCTCTCTCTATATATATACATTTGTTAAGGTTTAAGCTTTGATTTTATTGCAGTTTTTGAGTCCAGTTTGGGGTCAACAATGATTAACAGACTTACAACAGTAATATTTATTGGTGCAGAAGCTTTCTATTAGACAATTAATGGCCAGAGTGATGATGAAAACAGCTTGGTTTATTGCCCCCTCTGCCCAGACTGCTCCCTCACCAAAATTAAGTGGATTGCATCCAGATTTTTCTGAAGCAAACAATCTCCTGTGCAAAGTGCTTTGAGTGCTTTAATAGAGTAGAAAATTTGCTGTATAAGAACCATTTACCATTTATTGAAAACCATAATTAATAACACTTTATAATATCTGTAATAATTAAAGAAAACAGTATAGTATTAATAAAGTATTCCTGTGTGAAATATATTTGGGCCATAAATGACTAAAATACCGTGTCACGTGAGGGTTATCAATGTTTATTACACAAACCAGATCAGCCTGCGTTTTCACACTCGCCTCTATCCTGTGTAATAAATCCGTGTTGTGCTCCACTGTAAAGAAGCTTGAACTGATTTTGCTCTTTTGTCTGCAGAGATGTGAGAAGTTGACTCTGCTGTTATACTGTCAAATCCTCAGCGCTCCTTTCCATGAACCTGTCAGCCCTCTGGTCAGTCCAACAACAACAAATCACCTCAGCAGTAATGTAACATACATGAGCACCAAACGGTTTAAATATACAGTGCATATTTATATATACAGCAATAACTACAATAACTAGCGAAATTGTTACAACCTAACTGAGGATGTAAAATGTTCCACCTCTGTGATCTTACATCAAATCTATGCTCTCGTGTGCCAGGCTCGAAACTACTACCAGATCATCAAAAGGCCCATTGACCTGTCAGTGATCCGCAGGAAACTGGACAAGAGCAACACTCTCCACTACTTCACTGCTGAGCAGTTTGTTGATGACGTCTTGTTGATGTTCAAGAACTGTGCTACTTTCAATTACGTAAGGAATATGAGCAGATTTCCCACTTTGACCAAATTTCTGGTATAATTGAGTTATTCCTGCAATGCAGTCTGTGGAGATAAGTTCCACGTGTATCAGCAAGCTGGGCCTCTTTCTTCACATGGGGCCTGCCAGTCAAGGTTGTGTTCATCTGCAAATCAAGTATCAATCAAATCTCTGGATTTACTACTTATATCTACCAGGAATGAAGATGTTTACAGCCAAGGCAGTTATTATAATGTATATTGGAGGAAATCTGTAGTCTTTGATTTTCTTTCTCCTCAGTGCTGAGTACATGGTTATGGCATAGTAGACAATATGCCATGGGAACGTGGATATTTGTGTAAACTGTATGGTAATCAAGTAAGTGCTGAGGTATTTTAAAATAAGTTTAACCAAAATAGAAATCTGATTTTGAATCTGGAAGGATCACCTTGCACCTGCTTGGTCTGAAATATTTATGACTTTATTCTGGTAAGCTAACTCATCATAGGTCACTGTGGGTTGTTTTTTCTCTCCTTGTGCTGTGCAGCCAGACTCAGAGGTGGCTCAGGCTGGTCGAAACCTGGAGATGTTTTTCTTGAGCAAACTGAAGGAGATTATTCCAGACCGGACATTCCCATCAGCCAACCAGGGCACAACAGACAGAGCTCGCCTTCAGTGGCTCCACAGGAAGAACAAGGAAAACTCCAGAAAGAAGAGAAATGTTTTTAGTGGGAAAAAATATTGCCTATAACTTGCAATTTATTAATTTCCTTGCACTTCTCAAACATGTTGAAATTTAAGTCTTTAAAAACTGTGACAATAACATTAATAACTTGTGTTTTTTATATTAAAAATACATGTCGTGGAACTGAAAACTTGTCACATTTTTCAGGGATGTTCATGGAATGAAACAGAGACAGATGCTATTTACAGTTTTTAAATGAAATCAGTCAAATCAGATCAGTTGCATGATTTATCATTTTCATATTAAAGTGCTCATATTAAATAATAATATCAGCTTATGTAAAAGTTATCTGATCGCTTCCTTAAATACTCAGTTTCAGGCTGTTTGTTTTACTATTGGCTCGGTATAATGTTGATAAAAGGGAATATCCTTAATATAATCTCAGGTACACATCTCTGACATCTCTGATTGGCTGACCTCTGTTTATGAGTGGTAGCCAACCAGAAGAACATTAGCTTGATAGAAGAACCAAGCTAAATGGCTTATTTGAGGAGCTGCTCATAGGCCCAGCATTACTCTCGTAAAGACTCAAAATAAAAATTGAGTTGTAAATGAGCACAATAGGTCTACTTTAACTCTGTTATTGTTAAATCACTGCTCAACACTGATTTTAGGTGATGCAAGTATACTTTATACAGTAGACAGAAGGCTTTCCACCTTTTCATAAAAACTACTTCATAATGGTGCATTGGCACATGTGGCATACATCCCAGCAATGTGGGTTTGATGACAAATAAATATCATTAAAATGGTTTTGGTTGATTGTTGGTTATTGTGCTTCTGCAGTTATTACAAACTTTCCCCAGCAGGGGGAGCCCGTGTAAGACTTAACACTGGAAGGACATCTGTTTTGAATGTACCCTCAGTGCAAATTATGCTATTGACAGTGAGTCCATTATAGCACAAGAGGCTTTTGTGTCCCACTCCCCATTTATACCATCTTATCTATCAACTTTCATCTTTATCTATCCACTTTCTTTCTTAATACCTACAGTTGCTCTGCCTTCGTCTTATTGTGTGGTTAGACTTCACATAAAAATAAATCCTCATCCATGACAGCATTCAGTTTCATAATTTATGACAAGTAAAAGAAAAAAAAAAGATGTAAAGCCCGAAAAGGCAGCAAGTGATGTATTTAATCAATAAAATTCTGCCCCAAAACTAAAAACAGTTATTATAAAATGGAGAAAAAGTAAAACTAATGTCTGGATTTTTACCAGTGTGTTCAACCAGAGAATTGCAACTTTGGAAATATTTATCTAAATTATAATCTAAAGCTTGATTATATTACCAGCTGACAGTAAAAGTAACAAATAAAGAATAAAAATAAAGAAATCAAGAAATGAGATTGGAGCTGCAATGAAGAAAAAGCCCAAACAAAAACAACAGAGTTTCAATAATTAAGTTACTTTATTATGTTTCTTAAAAAATTACAATAACAGCACAAAAATGGTTAACAGCAGCTAGCCAGGCAAGCGAGTGTCCAGGGCCGCTAATAGCCTTAAACTTGCAGCAGAGATAAACCAGTCTGTGTGTGTGTGAAGGAGGAGGGGGGTGTTGTATCTGGGGTCCACTCTCCTACAGTCTGATTTGCCACCTTAATTGCTGCAACCGTACTCACCACCATCAAGCAGAGGGCAGCATAACACAGGGTCACCACGGGGTGAACCTCCACTGGTCCACAAACACCAGTAACCAAAACAAAAAAGGCAGTTACTAAACATACTTTGGATAGTGAGTGTACAATAAATCAACTTCCCCACAAAAATACAACCCGAAAGTCAAGGGGGGATTGAGCAATGGGCTTCAGGTGTCTTTATTCAAGCGCCAATTGAGAAATTAGAGGAGGAGCCAGGGTTAAGCGGGGCACGTTTCAGTCTACAATTTCCCCTCAACACTAGCAAAATGAACACTGATTAGGTGATATCAAAACTTATTTTAATACTATAACTTATTTTTCGCAGTAATCATTTTGATTTAACCTACTTGACACTAACTGGTAAAAAATCATGCTGTCTGGACAGTCTGCACACAACAAGCTGCCAAGTGTTTCAGAAATATGAGACAGCGGCTCGAGCTCCTTAAATGACATCATGCAGAGCCAAGCCAGTAAAACCCAGTGAAGGCTGGAAGAAAGTGCTTCAAAAACAACCACGCTATCTGCTGTACTATCTGCCAGCAAGAGTTACCTCAATACTTTTGCAGCATAAGTTATGCATAGTATGTGCATTTTACTTTGAAACAGCTGTGGTTGTTTCAGAGTACAAAACAATACTTCAGTTTATTACAAAACCTATTGCATTGCATTATTGTAGTGCTTCAACCTGTTTATCTGGTTATTATCCACAAGCATAATTACAAATATACTGTCATTTTTTTCCACAACCTGGAAATCTAACAATTATTCTTGCTAATTAACTGATAGATAATAAATATTAATTAGCAAATTGTTTAATAAACATCAATTTATCCATTGCTGTACTTCTCTGTGTGAAGGGAGACTTACCATAAAAACAGAATAAAAAAGTAACAATAACATGAGGCATGTAGTTAAAATGAAGTTGTTGTAACATATGCAACAAAGAGAAATTCAGTATTTGTATAACTGTATAATTGTTAAAACCAAAATTGTAACATTGACATGTTGAATTATTTTGCAACAGATGTTTGCTTGACAATAAACAATCAGATGTCAGATATGCTAAGACTAAGATTACTAGCCCTATCAGCAACTAGTCCTGGGTCAGATTAGCGACCTGTCCAGGGTGTACCCCGCCCCCCCTCTCCCTATGGTAGATGGGATCGGTTCCAGCCTGCCGGCAACCCAGATAAGGATAAGCAGAAGAGAATAGATGGATGGATAAATGGATGGATGGACAAGCAGCATAAATAAAAGAAGCTACAATGAGACTAATTTCAAAATTCATTCATGCCAATACTTCCCCCTAGTCATCCTGAATTATGATGTCACGGCAATTTATTCTCAGTTCCTTGCTAATTCTTTCCCAAACCCTTACTCCCTTGACAGAATACACTGTTTTACAGCAGTCTTCACTAATTCTTTTTGACCATATATATTTTTTCTTAAACGATACAGACAGTCTTTGGATACTTCCTGGTGATTTTTACATTAAAATCATGCTGTGGATCCGTCTGCCAAACCTGACAGCCTGTGTTTCTCCTGGACTTTGCTGCCCTGCTTGGTGGCTGGCTCGCTCTGTGTTGTTGTCATTTTCTGATTGTGGTTTTCAATTTTTCAGCTCTTAAACGTGTAATGTTTCAGGACATTTTGTTCTTGCTGTTCTTCCTTCCTGCAGCTCATTGTAATTTGCCAAACATAAGAGAGCATCAAGCTCATGCTTTTATAGTCTATTGTCAAAATGCTCTTATGTATAATCAGTGATGAAAGCAGCTCTGTGAATGCTGCATGAGTGCCTGCACTCTATAAACCCAATGAAAGGCTTTCAAATGGACAAAATCTGTTGCAACCACTGATAAAACCCACTGTGGTCCCATTATAAACAATATCTTTGATCTGTGTGCACATCTAAAATTTGTCAGCCACTGAAAGAAAGCATACAGAAAGGGATGAGAGTGAGCTTTTCAGGGTCACCATCGCTGTGGCTAATTTAAGGTAAAATAGCATAAACTGACCTTGGGATGTCCTTAACAGGAGGTTTAATGACTTTGGAAATCTACTTTGTTCAGTTCATTAAACCTTAGTCACGTGTCGCCTTCTTGTTTTCTTTCTTTCGTCAGTTCTTCTTTCTCCTTCTTTTTTCCCGTGTCCAGATGTTTCATTTAATAACATCAAAGCCCCCCCTCACTCTGTCTGTCTGAAGCTGGGTGAATCACCAACGTATAAAAAGGAGGAAAATGCTGACATACCTCCAGCTGCAATGGAGAATATCGTCTCTGAGATAAGACCTAAATCTAATGTTTAGATCAAACTCAACAGCAGCCATTAGCCCTGATTGTACCTCTGATAGTTTTGATTCATCATAAGAGCATTGTCACTTTAGAACAGTTAAAGATGTATCGTTCCTCCAAAAAGCTGCTGCATGATTTGCTCTTGCTTTTTGTGTTATTTAGGGTGGTTTAGACTCCCTTCCTCACTCACATTCCTGGTAAGCTACTGCATGAAAATACTGAATTATTGTGTCTGGGAGTGGAGTAAGTGCATGCTGTTGACTTTGGATGCTACTGAGAGCATAGCTGATTTGGTTTATTACACCCTCTTGGAAAGGATGTACCACCTTTTATGAAGATAATGCTGTAGTGGTCATCAAGCTGGCTGTGTAAAGCCAAAATTTACCTAATTTTTTTATGTTGTCCAGGACAAAGGAGATCCTGCTGCTCATCATCTCTGACATTTTTTGGGGCTCAGCATAGATATTTTAATGCTATAAATTAAAAAAAAAAAGCTCACAGACCAGTAACACACCATTAACCACCATTGCCCATCTCACTTCATAATTCAATCCTCATTATGGAAACATTATGAGGATTTTTTCTTATGACTAAATTTGGGAACTAAAATTTGGGGGTAAAAGAAAAGGAAAAAGAAGCAGGCCAGTACAGAAACATCATATGAAGTCAGTGGGTTGGTTAACCGCTGCCTGTGCACGTCATCTATCCAGTCTGAGCCTGACGTTCAGTGCAGTAACATATTCAAGATGTTTATGAGAGTTTGTCTGACTGGATAACTAAAACTAGACCAACAGACATTTGGCATGTCTGGATTTATGGGTATTGTTTTAAACACCAAAGTCACTCTGGTTTCTTGAAACAATCACTAAGTGAAACCTCTGTTAGAAAGATTGATAGTTGCCATCTCAGCCCATTGATGGTGTTCCTGTTGAAATGAGAACCACGTTTTCCACAAGCAAAGTCAAAGGATTTTGCTGTTTCTACCCCGAAAGGGATGAATCAGCAGTAATTTTATTTAGTTTTTTCCCCAGTGCCATCAGTTCTTCCACCATCTGCAGCTGCGTGAAGCTTTTGCA